GTCATCTTTGTATCCAGCGTCCTGCCTAAAGGGTATTGGGAGATTGCTGTAGGCCCAGCAACTTACGTTGTTCTGAAAGCCTGAAAAATGTCTGTGTTCCGCTAGTGACCCAAGGGGAGGGTCAGATGGAGGCATGAAAGGAGATGCTATAGAAGAGGCATTCGTTTGTTCTTATGTTTATGTAAAAGCTCATTATAGAAAAATCAGAAAAGGCTAAAACAAAAGCAAAATGTACAAAACCTTTTAAAAAATAAGGCACTGCATTACATGAACATACTATTTTTTGAACTTTCATTAAAATTTTTTTGATACATAGAAAAATTGAGAATATGGCAAATACTAGATTCAGATTAATCTTTTAAAATTTTTGACATAGTTTCATACATACAGAGGTTATAATACAACCAGTAATTAGAAGTACTCTTTACCCAGATTCCCCCAAATATTAATTTCTTACTACATTTGATTTGCCTTTTCTTCAACTTCTGTGTGTGTCTGTCAGGCTTTGTCTGTATAGTTTTCTGAACTGTCCCAATACTTAGGAGTAAATTGCTTTCATGATGTTCTCCTAATCCTAAATACTTCACTTGTTTTTCCTAAACACAAGGAATTCTCTTATATGACCACAGCACAGTGATAAAATCAGGAACTTAATATTGATACCAATACTGTTACCTAATCTACTGAATTTATTCAGATTTCACCAGTCGTTCAAGTGTGTCCTTTAAGGGACAAGAAGATCCCAGATGCTATGTTGCATTCAGTTGTAGAGTCTGTCTTTCCCTTAATTTGGAATCCTTCTCCAATATTTCTATGTGTTTCAGGGTGGAGACCTAGGGTGTTTTTGTTGTTGTTTTGGGGGTTTGGGGGCTTTTTTGTATCTTACAGTATGTACTAAGCGACTTTCCATATCGCTAGATACAGAGAGCAGTGCAGTTCTCACTGAGTAACTGAGCCAGGACCCTGGGGCCCGACTACCTGTTTCCAACCCTGGTCTCACTACTCAGTACCTGTGTTCTCTTAAACACATTTTCTTCTGTGAAATGGGGGTGCCAATACTAGAGCCCCATGCACAAGTGCGCATTACCGACACGGTGCCTGTCACAGAGTAAGCTCTCAGAAAATGCTGGCTACTGTTGTCACCACTAAGTGACATTTACAAGGGCAATTCTGCAGATATGTTGGCAGTAGCAAGTGTGGCTCTGTTCTGTCCTGCCCTGCTTTTCTTCATATCTGTCTAGGTTCAGACAGCAAACTTGGCCAGCTTACTCACCTATAGGATGGTTTAGCTGGAAAAACTGCCCTAAAGAGTGGCTACCAAGTGCTCCCAAGTTCATGAGCTCATATTGGTTTGCGACAGTTTCACTGGTCTTAGAGTAAGAACAGTGAGGTTATTTTTTGTTAAAGGCTAAATGTTTTATTATGACATCGTATAGTTCTTTTGGAGGTATTAAAATGTCCTTTTAAAAATGATGTTCATAAAAAATTGATGCTTATAAAGATGGTTGCTTATTTTGTCATTATTGTATTTAATAGGTCAGAAAAGTAACAAAGACAAACCCGTTAACCCCCAAAATATTTTTGGAGATTTTACTGGCCCATGACAAGCCAGTGGTCTGGGAATTACTGTTCTAAACAATGTGCATTTGGCTTTGTGCTTATATACAAGCACCTGTGAACAGGGTTTCTGACTAGAAATTCATTAATTTAGTTATAGATTGAATGAACATTTTTTGACTCTCTCTTGAATGCAGGACACTGTACCAGATGCTTTTCATGTCTCATTTCATCTTTATAACAGCTCAGTGCTGCTGGTTCTCCTCTTACTGTCTTACTAACCCTGTGAGCTATGTGTTATTTTCCCTGCTTCTACTGAGGAGATAGACTCTCAGAGATGGAGTTCACCCAAGGTTATTGAGCCAGGAGTGGTCTGGCTGACCACAGTTGGTACCCGGCTCTCCCTGGTGACAGAGGCCATACTTGCTTTTTTCTCTCCATTGTTCACAGCTCATGTGCTTCAGACCTGTGGAAGTTTAGTAATGGTTCATGAATCCCCAAGTCCACGGGTCTCCTTTCAATCAAGATATACTAAAGGTACAATCATATTTAGAGAACTTTTTTTTAAGTTGCCTTGCAGTACAAAGTTGCCTTGCAGTACAGAAAGCATTTCTCCACCTTACAGAGAGCTATTTGTACAACAGCAGGAGTTCCTCATTTTTTGGTGACTCTTGGGTTAGGAATGAAACTGCCGCCTTTGCCTGAGTCAGTGTGATTCTTCAGCTTTCCGTTCCAGCTACATATAGGCTGCCTTCCAAGGAAAGGAAATTGCCGCTGTGTGGTATTAGTGGGTGCCCTAGAAACACTTCGTGATCTCCTACCTGGGCATAGGAAATAAGATGCATTCAAATAATAATATGAGGGGCAAAGTTGGAAGCTAAGTCATGAGTTGCTGAGGGAGACAGATTTCAGCTCTAAAGCTGTGGGGCTTTGTCTAGTGCAGTGTTTCTTAAATTTGGCTGTCTATGCTGCTTTTTAAAAAATAAACCCGTTCCCTACTCTAGACCTACTGAACAAGACTATGTGACTCAGGGACACACAGGTGTGTGCGGCTGAAAAGCTCCCCCAGGCGATCCTGAGAACCAGGTTACCTCTGACTGCATAGCTGGACGCCGCACCAGCCTTGGGAAGAGTAAAGCCCCTTTAGGTTAAGGATGGTTCTCCTAGGCACTTTTTTTTTTTTAATCTTTTTAAAAATGATTTTATTTATTTATCTTTAGAAGGGAAGAGAAGGGAAGGGAAGGGAAGGAGAGAAGGATAGGGATAGGGAAGGAGAGAAATATCGATGTATGGTTGCCTCTCATGAGTCCCCTGCTGGGAACCAGCCTGCAACCCAGGCATGTGCCCTGACTGGGAATCGAACCGCGATCGTGTGGTTTGCAGGCCTGCGCTCAATCCACTGAGCTACACCAGCCAGGCTCCTAGGCACTTCTTGAGTTGGTACATGAAGCAAGCCTTGGGATCATCAGAACTCCCCAGGACATTTTTAATTCCTTCCTTTTCCTCACTGGCCACTGAAGTTAGAAGCTTTCTTGTCAAGCCCATTTCTGTAAAATATTTGATGAGCACACTCACAAATCTATTGTTCTAGATCAGCAATTTTCAACATTATCTATCTCATGGCATACGCAAACTTAATTACTAAAATTCTGCACACCAAAAAATGTATTTTTTGCTGACCTGACCAAAAAATAGGTATAAGTTTGATTTATTCATACCGAGTGGCTACTGTTGCGTTGGCTGTTGTCATTTTTCTTATTTGACAATCTAAGGGAGAAGAGGTCAGTGCCCCTGACTTAATAGTCAGGTATTGCATGCTTTAAAAATTCTTGTGGCACAGTGGTTTAAAATAGCTATCCTAGATTGTAGAAGAGCAGTTTATAGCACTTAGATCATTCCCTGATTCATTGAATCTCTTGATGTAGCCCTGTATGTATTCCACCAGCAGCTTGAGAGGAAAACAGCTGAGAGCTGCTCCGAGGCGCACCCCGCACTCCTTCCTGTGGCCTCTGGAGCCCATTGGGATCTGGCTTCTGCCTCAGCTCACACCAGCCTCTTCCTCACTTGCTTAGTTTCAGACACCATGTCTTCTACAAATGTGCCAAACTCATGCTGCTTTTGGGGGACTCCCTCTAATTAACACTCTGAGTCTCGGCTTAGATGTTGACTCTGAATCAATCTCTGTTGTGTCACCTCTTCATCATAGTATTCATCATAGTGTTTATCATTGTCTGAAATTTTATTATAATTTGTCTCTTCCACTCTGTTGTCAGCTCCATGAGAGCAGGTACCTGTTTATGTTGTTTCCCATCAAACTCAAAGCATCTGGAATACTGTCTGGCTGGTAATAGGTGCTCAGGAAGCATTAGAGGAAGAAGTGCTTTGGGCCGTACACCCTCACACACCTTTATTTCAGGGCAGGACTGTGCTGACCCTCCATTGGTATCTCTTGGTGCTAGAAGTGTAGCAGTTTTCTAGAGCAAAACTAAATAATCTTGAGCTATTTGTCATGTTGCAACACTCCCGTGGAGCTTTTCCTTGTCCACATGTAGGTTAGAGTGACAACAGCTATTTAGAAATGTATGTCCATAGGCCCAACTAGAGGGTAAATGATCCCTTAGGATTAGTGTTAATTCCAGTCTCTCCAGTCCTGCGCTGTATACATGTCAGGCATTTGCTGTATTCTGAGATCCTACAAAGTAAAGAACATCTTTTTATTTTTTTTAATTTTTATTTTTTAGATTTTATTTTTATAGAGAGAGGAAGGGAAGGAGAAAGAGAAGGAGAGAGACTTCATTGTGCAAGAGAAACATCGATCCATTGCCTCTCGCACACCCCCAACTGGGGACCTGGCCTGCAACCCAGGCATGTGCCGTGGCCGGGATTGAACCAGTGACCTTTTATTTTTGCAGGATGATGCCCAACCCACTAAGCCACACCAGTCAGGGCAAAGGACATGTGACCTCTTCCAAAGGACATTTTCACTTTGGAAGAACTCAGCCCTGTTTGGCATTCTTGTCTGTCTCCTTGCTATGGAAATACTGCTGTCTGGGTACAAACTCGCGGCCTGATCTCCCGACTCTCAGAGACATAAGTGGGGACTGTTTGGATGGTGTGATGCTGTGTGTTTCATAAAGCTTCTGAAAGCTTCAGGACCTGTGGTCGTAAGCTTCAGGTTTTCCTAGAGGACCTCTGAAAATCTGGTGATAGTAACACGCCCTCCCTCAGAAAATGTACAAGCACCAGTGCATATATTTTTGCCTATAATTTTTAGGGGCATAAGAACTTAAATGCCCTTCATAGACCCTAAATGTCTTTTTGGGGTTGAGATTGGTTTGCTTATCCACCACAGCTGGGTCTTGGCTCTTCCATGGCTGTTTCTTTCTGACTTGGTCTCCCGTCTTCTGTGCCCTCTCGTTTTTAAACCCGTTGGACTCTCTCAGGCCCAGAAGAGGCGATATTCTCCAGGAGTCCAGGTACTCAGTTGTTAATCCACCATGGCTACCCTTTATTTTCCGCGTGTTCATACAACATTTGCTACTGTTAAGTATCCATGTGGCTACTGACTCAGGAGTCACGAGTCTCTGATTTTGAGTGCTCCTTCTCCTTGCATGTTGACTGTTGGGGACAGTGTGGAATTCATTGAGTGGCATGTGTCATGTGACCTCTCCCTTCATTTACACTGCCTAGCACTGGGCTTGCTCTGGAATGGTTAGCTTATCATTTCTAAGGAAAAATTTGCTCCTACAACTCTGTTGGAGAAAGGGCCTCTGAAGTAGGTGGGGAAATGGGTGGGATCTGGGGAAACCTGCAGTGGAAGAACTTTGTCCTGTGTATTATTGGGGGAAGTTGTGTGCGACTGAAGCTTAAATGGGCTGGAAGTTTTTTTTGGTTAAGAACAGTCATCTTGGCTGGAGAACACCATCCAGCAGCCTGGTTCTGGCAGTACTCTTTCTGAGTCTTAATCCATTCAGCATTATGTGCTCATGGGATTTTAGAATTTGAAAGGAGCTATCCTGAATGGAAAGATTTCCCTGATCAAACAGGTATTTTCAGAATGCCTGTTGTGTGCAAAACGCTTGCTCTGGCAGGTAGGGTGGGGGGATATGGGCCTAGGTGGAGACATGTAAAGTAGCATAATAAATTATTGTTTTATTCAAGAAGTTGACATGGCAGTGGGTAGATAGGTACATACACATAAAAAGAAAGCCACTAGTCTGGGGAAGAACACTCATGCAAAATGGTTATCTCCGGGAAGAGATACGAGTCAGATTCCAGAGCCTTAGAGGAGCTGAAGTCAAGTACAGAGTTCAGTCGCTTACTTGGCCGTATCCTTTTAGTGTGGGTTCTAGTGGGTTGTCAGTGATGTGTGCAGGCATTCCAAGGAGCACTTCCTTACTGTCTTCTGCTTCTCCTTCTCTACTTTCCCAGCGGGTGTTCCCCTACATCTCAGCCATGGTGAACAATGGTTCCCTCAGCTATGATCATGAGCGGGATGGGCGGCCAACAGAGCTGGGGGGCTGTACGGCCATCGTCCGAAATCTCCATTATGATACCTTCCTTGTGATTCGCTATGTCAAGAGGCATTTGACGGTGAGTCTCTGTTCTAGACCAATATGGCTGTCTGGTTCCTGCTCCCATGGCCTGGCCCTGATTTCTTTCTTCTTCTTATTCTAGATAATGATGGACATCGATGGCAAGCATGAGTGGAGGGACTGCATTGAAGTGCCAGGGGTCCGCCTGCCCCGGGGTTACTATTTTGGCACCTCGTCCATCACAGGGGATCTTTCAGGTATCTCCACATGCACTTCTTATTTGCCCAAACTGAAGTCACATCTTGGTAGCCAGGCCTTGGCAAGGCTTCTCAGAGGAGAGAGTCAGACCAGCAGAACTCTGGGAAGCAGATACCCTGGGAGTGTTTATCTTCCTACATTCCCATACCCAGATTCCTTAAGACCCCAGGCTTAAGTTGTCCTCGAACAGCTGTCCCAGGAGATAGAGCTATGGAAAAGTAGTTTGCCTCTTTGTGGAGCCACCTCTCCAGCTTGTGTTTTAAGTTCTGTACTTTTCTGTTTCTGGTGCCATCTTTCTAGTCTGCTTCCTCTCTTTCCCCTCCTAATGTACTCAGTTTCCCTTCTCTTAACAAGGCTTCTCTGTAACTCTGCCATCCCTCTTCCGACTGATACTGAGGCCCTGCTTTGTGGCCAGACTTGTGAATGTCGTATGTGGAGATGTTCCTGTTTCCAGCCATCCCCCTCTGGACATGCTGCCCTGGACATGCTGCCCTGGGCCTGTGTCTCTGCCATGCTGTCGGCACTCTTCTAGTGGAAGTTACTTCCGTGTCCTGGCCATGTGTGGCACTCCGTTTTCAGTCCTCGCTCTGTTTCCTCTTAGGTCTTTTATTTTTCTTTAGTGAGAGAAGGGAGGGAGAGAGTGACGAAGAGAAGCTTTGATGTGAGAGAGAAACATTGATTGGTTGCCTCTTATATGCATCCCAACCAGGGCCAAACCCACGACCCAGGCACGTATGTGTCCTGACCAGAAGTCAAACCCGTGACCCTTCGGTACATGGGACACTGTTTCCTATAGGTCTATGGTTGGTTTTCCAACCAGCTGGGCCACGCCAGCCAGGGCTCTTCAGCTCTTTTGACCATTTGCCCTGAGGGTCTTTCCTGACATGACAGTTGTGGCACTGACAATACCTTCTGCTTTTCCTTTCCCCACTCTTTAGAACTTTCTTTCTCCTTGTCCAGATTTGTGGCTTCTCTCTTTTTAAAATTATTTATTTTTTAAAGAATGGGGAAGAGCCCTGGTTGGTGTGTGGCTCAGTGGATTGAGCACCGGCCTGCAGATCAAAGGGTCGCTGGTTTAATTCCTAGTCGGCACACACGCCTGGGTTGCTAGCCAGGTCCCCAGTGGGGGGCACTTGAGAGGCAGCCACATGTTGATGTTTCTCTCCCTCTCTTTCTCCCTCTCTTCCCCTCTGTCTAAAAGTAAACAAAATCTTTTTTAAAAAATGTAAAAGGGAGGGAGAAAGAGAGGGAGAGAAACTCTTATCGGTTGCCTCTTATACATGCCCCAACGGAGGGCACTGAACTTGCAACCCAGGTATGTGCCCTGACTGGGAATGGAACCTGCCACCTTTCACTTTGTGGAATGACACCCAACCAACTGAGTCATGTGGGCGAGGGGTCAGTGGCTTCTCTTTATTTGCTTGTTCTCCCCCTTGGCTTTAGCCCGAGTCATAACATTATTTGAGAAGAGGTAAAGAACTGAATGCATAGGGTTTTTTAATACATAATTTATTATGAATAAAGCTAATATGAAACAGAATTTTCTTCTGGCAGAAAGGAAAGGCAAACACTCACGGGAATGGGCAGCAGCTGCTTGGTTCCAGCCATAATTGCCAAGAGAAAATGTGGGCTCAGTCAGGCCATTCTTGGTTTTTAAGAGAAACTGGGAACTTGGATCTCTAAAGTGAAATCTGATTTTTTAAATTCTGGCTTTTAAAAAATTCAACTTTCTTGAGATATATTTTCCATAGAATAGAAGTATATAATTTGAAGAGTTTTGACAAATATTTGCACCTACGTCCTCACCTCCACAGTCAAGATACAGAGAGTCTGTCCATCACTGCAGGAAGTTCCCTGTGTCCCTCGGCAGCATCCTTCCCTCGTCCTCTCCTTGGGCAGCCAGGCTCCGATGGCTGTGAGCCGGGCCGGAGCTGTGGGACAGAGCTCCCCTTGGCTCAGAAACAGGAGGCACGAGCTTCAGATCTTTGCTATGTTAATCTTGTTACATGACTCAAGTTGAAAGAGGTATCCTTGTCTACTTTGAATTTTCCTTTGAATTTATAGGTTTCTAGGTCCTGTGAGTTAACTTCCTGGTGTACTTTTCAATGGGAAGTTGTTCCCAACTGTTAGAGATGAACAAATAGAATACAGTCAATTTTTGTTTATTCTGAGGCATCCTTTGCTCTAGGTTTTGGGTGGTAATACCTAGGTTAGTAAGTCTGTATTTTCTGCCCATAGGTTGTCCCTCAATAGAAATTGCGTCATCCTCTTAAGGTCTTTCTTGTTGATATCTTCTTACCATTAATGCAGCAAATTGTTGAACATGCTGAGAAAGTTGGGACACATTCCAGATGTACCAGCCTTTGGCGCCCCACATTGTGAGGAGTGTTGCTCTAGCTTTTTATCCTGTCCATGGGTCAAACTCAGCCCTGACAGTAAAAATATCTAATTGAAGGCAAATCCAGATTTTTCTATCTAGGGATTCTCTAGAGATTCTAAGAGTCCAAGCAGGCATAGATGCCATTCTAGTAATAGAAATGGCAAGAAATCCAGTCCCTGATAACCAACCAAGTAGCCATGAGCTAGCTGTATGGCATTCAGATTTGTGGTATACAGAATCACAGTTACAAGGAGCCACAAAGTATTAGGCCCAGTCAGGAAGGGGAACATTCTGTTCTGTGCCACAGCTGAGCCCGGCAAGCAGCCATCAAACCGCTGTCACCAGGAGGCCCTTTCCTGTCTTGAAAGTGTGTCATTCCCATCAAAGGGAAGCTCAGTGCTGCTGGTTCTCCTCTTACTGTCCTGGAACATTTTATGTATCATGGGGGATTTCATTCTTGTATTATCTTTAAATTTGTGAATTATGTAGGTAATGCTTGTTAATAAAAGCTTTCAATATGGAGTAATATAGAATAGTCCTGTTCCTTACTCTTGCTAGATGAGAAAACAGGCCACAATTATTCTTTCAAGGTCATTGCTAGTTAGCTGTGAATCAGAAGCTTGAGCCAAGATACTCCAAGATACCTCTTTTTGAGAGGGCTTGAGCAACCCTTATTCTTTTTTCTTTAGACAACCATGACATTATTTCCCTGAAGCTATTTGAATTGACAGTGGAGAGAACCCCAGAAGAGGAGAAGCTGCATCGAGATGTGTTCCTACCCTCCGTGGACAACATGAAGCTGCCCGAAAGTGAGCACAGGGACCCTGGGAAGCAGCCCATGGTGGGAGAGGAGTCACAATACTGGGGATGGGCTCGCAGGTCCGTCTTCTCTCTATCTTTCCTCTGCCCAATAAGCAGCACTGGCACAGTGCTCCAGTGTGCAGCACTGTCTTCAGGTTACAGATGAGCAGTTGCTTCATTTTAGATTAAAGCATCTGGAAAGGGAGAGTGAGCTCTGGCTCCCAGAAATGGGCATCGGGTCCTGGGGCATTAGTAGCCTGTTGGGTGGTCTTTCCCAGTAGGGTAGGCTCCCTGGTGCTGACTTTCTTCTCTTTCACTTCCTCAGTGACAGCCCCTCTGCCACCCCTGAGTGGCTTGGCCCTCTTCCTCATCGTCTTCTTCTCTCTGGTGTTTTCTGTATTTGCCATTGTCATTGGGATCATACTCTATAACAAGTGGCAGGAACAGAGCCGAAAGCGTTTCTACTGATCCCTTCTGTGACCACCAGCCCTGTGCTGTCACCATGAGGTGTGGGAGGAGCAGGTGCTGTCCTGAGCACATAGCCCATCAGTCTTCTCCAGTGTCCGGCAGCTGGTCAGGGACTGTGTTTTGTCACTGGAGCTTTAAATTCAGGGACACTGTATTCCCATGGTCATCCTTGGGGACTTCTGTCTCTGGTTCAGGAAGCCCACCCACCCCAGGGCAACACTTCTGTGATGTGCCTTTCCCTGCAGTCTGTCTACGGGGTGCACAGAGGGATGGAGATAGTACCTGCCATTATGATGCCAAGATCACAGAAAAGAGCTTCACTGCCCTGGCTGCCTTGATGTGGGACGCAGGACCCTTGTCCTTCTCATTTAAATCTGCAAAGAATGGAAAATTGATAACTCCTCATACCTTCCTGACATCCATTCATTGGTTTTTGCTTTTTGTCTGAGCCTTTCTTCACCTGAGGAGCTCTCCTTGGAAATCTGGATGGAAACTTCTCCACTTTGCCTTCCTCTCCCTCTTATTGTCCTCTCCAAATGCAGCCTGAGCTTGAGAAGACATTTTGTGCCTCTCTGTTGGGGTCTGAGGCTGCAGAACAAACATATTTCACTGACCCTCATTAGGTGTCCATAGGAAGAGTGCTTTCAGCTTTGGCTTGCTGCTCTAGCCTTTGCTTGTCAGTGTGGATCCTGGTTCTGTTGGTGTGTTTGTGACTTTCCCAATTAGGTACCATTAGGCTCTTAGTCATGTTTGGCTGGAAGTTGGTGTACAAGTCAAGAGAATCTTGGAAGATCTCATGGATAAAACAGGAATAATTGTGACACTAACCAGCTCCAGGTTTTGACACCAAAAGCAACGTTTGCCGTGTGATCTGACCACATGGAGATGCTTCTGGACCATCTGGAGCTTTCTTAGCTGCATGTTTTGTGTCTGTCATAATCTTCGGAATCCCACTTTGAGTGTTTAAAATGTAAGGAAGATTTCTTTGTATAGCTGTGGCCTGGATACTCCGCAGGGGGAAATTTGGCTTCTTTTTCCTAATGGATAAGGAACAGCTGCTGTTCTCATGATGCAAACCTGCCATCAATAGGCTCTCATCATCCGTGCCTGGAAGCATTCATTGTCATGGAGCAACAGTCTGAGTGCATCCTCCAGGGGTCAGCCCTTACTCCACTGCCTTATTTGACAAGGGGTCACACTCTGTTCTGCTCACCTGTCTGCCTATGATGAAATCAGCTAATAGAGGGCCTGCCCAGAACTTCTGTAGCCTAAGGGAAATTCGTAAAATGGCTGATGGAAACAAAACACTAGCTTCTGACTCAGTGCTCTTCCTTCTAGGGGTGCATTTTGGGGAGGGTCCAGGTCTTCTTCCTGAGCCCATAAGTCCTTACTCTGCCTTCTCCTCTGTTGGGAAGTCCTCGGCTCAACACAGAAGCAAAGGAGGGTTACCTTACCTGAGTATGGGTTTCTGTCCTCTTGGGCTTTTTTATGTCCTTCCCACATGCTTAATTAAACCTCGTGGGCAGTAATACTCTCCTGCAGACGGGATTAAGGTGGAATCCTCCTAACACCTTCCCCGCAACAGCAGAGCACCTCCAGAGTGCCAGAGGGCAAACAGATCTAGAGCTTCACCTTGTGATCAAGTAGAACTGAAAGAGCAGATGGTTCTTTTGTGACTTTGAGTTCAGGAGATTGGATAGAGCCCTGTGGTGAGAGGACCTAGGTGGGCTCTTGAGAAGACCTGGGCCTTGGTGCAAGAGGTGTGGGGTCTTCTCGTGGGGAGGCATGTTGGTGAGAGAGCTTGAACTCATAGGTTTTGTGTGATTTCAGCTCATGAGTGCCTTGAGGCTTCTTAAGGAAGGTAGGGAAGACATGTAATGCAGTCCCCACCTGGCCTAGGGCCACCTTAGAGCTGCGTGGTATAGGAAGCTGTCTAACCATTACGTGGTGTGTCCTGTCTCACCATACACAGCATTCTCTGTTACAAAACTTGTTTATTTTAGTGGAAAATTACAGCTTTGCCTTTCTTGCTGGAAGTGGTTTCTGAACAGATTAGCCAGAATATTCCCAGCCCCTTGCTGCCCTAGAAGATAGAAACAAGGAATTGACAGGAAGCTTCAGGGCAGGGCTGACAGCGGGCAAAGAAAAGCCAGACATGGACAAATTAGCCTTGTGGGGCTGGAAGTTCTGGGAAAATATCTTGCAGGTGATTCATGGGTCCTCGCAGGAGTTTCAGCCGATGGCCTGTTGTAGGCTCTAGGTTAGGATGCTGGGTGGTGATGTCAAAAGAGCTGGCATTGCTGGTGTTTGGTGAATTGATGATATTGGTGAATATTTTAATGGGCATATTCATCCGAAGTGTAGGCTTGATCCAGCTCATGGCCAAATAGTTCTAGAGAGAACAGGCAACAGACTGAGGTAGCAACCAGAAGGCTCTCTCTCTCCAGAGGCAGCCCATGAGCAACCAGTGCCTTTGTCCCTGTCCCCATGGTCGTCACTCACCGGAGCTGAATACATGAAGCTGAACAGTATAAACCCAACAATCAGTATGATTGAGCCAACTATGATTTTGAAGCGGTAGCGTTTCCAGCAAACATAGCAGAAGTTTTTAACGGGTGACTGAAACCATGAGAGCAAGGTGTTGGTGCGTCTGTCCATGAGCAGAGTTGATGTCAGAGAATGGAAGGCAGAGGAGACCTTCAGGTCAACTTTTCCAGAGCAAATACCCTTCTTTTTCAAAAGCAGCTTCCGCCCCATCCCCCACCTCCCATGGCTATTCCCTCCTGATGGTGATCGAGCATTGAAGCTGGGGTGGTGGGAAGTAATTACCCCTCCACTTGTAGTCTCACCAGGCACCATCCTGGACAAATTGCCAGGCCCAGCAGCTCAACTTTATGAATAAGGAAGAAAGATCTGGTGCTTGCACCCCACAGGACTCTTACAGGGGAGGGTGAAGTGTAGGGAACTGGTTGGGTTCTGACTGGCCTCGTCCGGCTGGCCTGATCAAGGCTTCCTTTTCTGACAGAATCTCCAGTGTCATCTTCACTTTACCCTAGAAATACCGCAGAGGGTAAGGGGCTGCTGAGTGATGATAGCAGGAGCCTCTTCCCAGGACCCACAGAGGAAAGGGGATTTAGCTAAGGCCCTGAGGGGGCTGTGAGAGCCAAATGATGGGGCCCAGCAGTCTTATGCAGTAGACACCTTCCCCAGCTCCTACCGACAAGCGCCATCTGCCATCCTCAAGGACCTGGGAAGGCCACCAGCCAGTTACAGTCTTCTTCTGAAAGAGGGAGAAGTGCTTGTGCTGGAGGAAGTGGGGCCACTTGGGGTCAGGGTCCATCATCCTGATGGAACACATCTTTGCATGTTGGGCTGGGTAGGGCATGTCAGACAGATCCAGCTCCAGGACCCCTGAGCACAGAGAAATGCTGTCAGCAAGGAGCTGCCTGTCCTGAGGTTACAGGCCCTATGCCAGAATCTCACCTAGGAAGTCGTCAGTGGAGAAGATGTTATTGTCCCAGACCTGGATGATGAGTCGGGCTGGAAACTTCATCACTGTGGGGTCCAGGTTCCATATGTAGTCCTGAAGGATGGCAGAAGAGCTTGTTACTGCTATTCTCCTTTGAGAATCCCTTTGGCCATCTTAGGAGCCCATTACCCAGCATAATGGACTGTCAAGGAAGAGGGTTTCCAAGTGTTCTGGTGTAGCTTGCAAGCCTCTGAAGGGAGGGCAGGAAGAGGAGTCTACCTCCAGGCCCATTACCTTCTGGCTCAGGATGCACACTTGCTCAGCTGCCAGGTAGTCCAGGGTGAAGATGAACCGCCAGTTAAAGCTGCTCTCCCCAGTCAGGGAGTGGTAGTGGATATCTGTCTTCTGCATGTCCTTCTCTAGCCCGAATAACCACCTGGGGTCAGAGTCCTCTCACCTGGGGTTCATGTGCACTGTCCCCATCCCTGAGCTGGAGTCCTGTGGGAAGGGCTGCCCAGCGGACACCAGGTGCAGTGGATGTGGAGAGATGTCACCCCAGGATGAGAAAGATAGGCAGGAAAGCTAGAACTGGGGAACTCAGGGAACTCTGCTGGAGCCCTGCCCCTGTGCCTTACCCTTTGACGAAGATGTCACTCATCTTCTCATTACTTAAACTGACACTCTTCAGGTCCATGTCGGCAGTTTTCCAGATAATGCAGCGCAGCTCATACCTGCGGCCATGGCTCTCTGAGGCTTTGCCGAGGACTTGCTCCCCAGCCGCAGCCTTGGTAAGGAAGAGGGGCCTGGGTGGCTGCCCCCCACGCCCACACTCATGCTGCACTGGTGGGACTCGGGGAAAAACGCCTCCCTAGATTCTCAGCAGAGGAAAGCATGCCTGCTGCTCCTTACTGAGAACACTGGTGCTCAGCCCCTGGGAAGGCTGCCCTGGGAGGTGTGCCCACACTCACCTTTTAGGATTCCTTGGTCTGATGTTGACTGGGGGGCCAGGAGGACCCAGTTTCTTGGGGAAGATGTCCACCCACAGTTGTACCTTGCCCTAAAGCAGAGATAAGTTAGCTGGCTGGGGTTTGCTAGCCTCTGTCCTCAGTATGCCGGCCTGGGGAGCCCTGTTCCAGGTGCTTAGTTCTGCTGAGGTCCTGCTCCCAGCACTGAGAAGGTGGGGTACAGTATCTGAGGTGGAATGACCTCCTACAGGGAGAACAGTGCGGTCAGGTTGATGGTGTGACAGCTTTGAGGCTGACGATCATGGGGCTGGGGTGTCGCTTGTGACTGAGATCTGGAGAGTTAATGCCATTTAGCAGGTGATACTTAGGATTGTCTAGAAGGCTCCAGAATGGGGTGGGGGTTTCCTTTATTAACCAGTAATCTAGATGGCCAGTCCAGATCTCCAGATTGCTCTAGGGCATGGAACCACACCCTGAGGATGTGAAGCTATCCACAAAGCACAGAGGTCCGAGAGGAGGGCGAAACTGGTGGGAAAAAGGAAAAGGGAGGAACTGTCCACCCTGGAAGAAAGTTAAATATATTCTTTCAAACTATCTGACCTAATTTTTATTTTTTGAACTTGACTTAATGTTTTTAAGAGAATAGTTTTAATAAGAATGTTTTTTTTAAAAATGCTCAGCAAAAAACTGTCTAGAATGTGGTATCAGCTTGAGAAACGTGAAGGATGCAGTGAGCCATTCTGGTGGCTACAGGGTAGATGATAATAGGGGCCTGTGGGGTGTTTAGTTCTCTCTTCTGGGTTCCTGCAGTTAACAGCCAAACCAGGCTTGTGACATCTGCACACCGATCCTGGTGCCGCTGCTCCGCCCTCCCTCAGGCGAGACTGAGGCAGTGTTGGCCTGGCTGCTAGGGCACCTCAGCACATCCTGCCGTGGACACTTGGCCTGGTTTCCTGCACACGGCTTTTCCAGCTCTGAATCTCTCCATTCTAGGTGGCGTCACTGGAACTTCTTGTTAACATGCACATTGTACATGTCTTCTGTCTGTTCACGTCTATGAATGCACGGCCTCTCCTTCCTCTCACAAGTCTCTGTCCTGGATGGGTTGGGTATACACTGCACCCGCCTCCCGATCCAGACCCTCCGGTCTCATACCTGGTCAATGCCCGGCTGGCTGTTGCTGTACAGAGTGCGGGTCTCCACGTGCTCAGGTACCAGCCCCTGGGTATGCAGGAGGTACAGTGCAAGCCGCTCTTTCTTGGGTCCCAAGTATTGAGCAGTAGGGGGTTTTGACTCTAGATTGGAGGGAGACAGGAGGGGATCTTGAGGTCATTAGCCTTCCCCTCTCCCAGGTAGCCCCCTACTTTCCTTGTGCCCAGCCTGGACAGTGGCCATGGCTGCCCTCTACAGGAGGAAGGGGAAAGGGATGCCCTCTGGCAGCTCTTCTGTCCTGGAGCCTCCCCAGTTTCTGAGGCCCGGGCTATGCTTTCTGGCAGTGTGCCGTACTTCTTACCAAAACGTTGCAGCTTGAATTTTTTCCCATTGTAAAAAACAGAGTCACCCTCAGGGTTGAACAGAGGTGGAGGCAATCCTTTCCGCTTGGCATGGTGTTCCAAGAGGAAGCTTGGGGGCACCTGATCCCGCCACCTAAAGGGCCCTGACCTGTGGGGATACGTGAGGGGGGAAAGGTGTGGTTCTTGGAGAACATGCCACTTTCAGCTGCAGGATGACCAGTGGTGGGGGTGGGGAAGACAAGTTTAGACTCTAGATCCCCAGCTCAGAATGCAGGCCTCTTGGAAGGGGGCCGTGGGCTCACTTCTCCACCCTTCTCTCTGCCCTTGCCCTTGGTCAGGTCCGCTCTCACTGGCAGTAGGAT